AAGAGCGGTCGAGTTTCTGCTCGAGTCTCTCGGTAACATAGACAGCCTCTCGTCATTTCAATTCTCTTTGTCTCTGTGAAAGTGAAACACAAATGTTAAAAAGACCAAGAACCGGTTTTTTCTTTAAAACCCTTTTCAGGACTGAGTAACAGTGATGATGTGCTCCCCATTTACATTGGAGACGACAAGACCGACGAAGACGCTTTCAAGGTAATAATAATAAATGCCAGTCAGTAGCTGTAGTAGTTCATGTAACTCAAAACTCTTTTTATGTTTCTTTTCTCCAACCGAAATTAACGGCTGAAACGAACAATTAAATATTATATATATATATATATATAGGTGTTGAGAGAGGGAAGCCGTGGATTTGGGATATTAGTGTCAACCGCACCCAAAGAAAGCTACGCATCCTACTCCCTCAGAGACCCTTCCGAGGTACTTAATTATGCTATGCTAATGTATGTATATGTATGTATGTATGTATGTATGTATGTATGTATGTATGTATGTATGTATGTATGTATGTATGTATGTATGTATGTATGTATGTATGTATGTATGTATGTATGTATGTATGTATGTATGTATGTATGTATGTATGTATGTATGTATGTATGTATGTATGTATGTATGTATGTATGTATGTATGTATGTATGTATGTATGTATGTAGATTGGATTAATATATGTGGTTTGCAGGTGAAGAAGTTTCTGAAGGCATTGGTGAAATGGGCTAAGATGGAAAAATCCACCTTATGATGGATGGATGGTGGAAGTATTTGAAGGAATTGAAGTTTTTTCCTTTGGTCCTCTTTAGTTTATCACATGGTTTAATTTATATAAACTCTCATTTTTCCCAGCCCATTGATTTTTATTATATTTATTTATTTGTTCCTTGAACCACACACACACACACACATATGTATATATATATGATTAGGATTATTATTAGTTTTTAAACAATTAGATATCAGAAACTTCTAAACTCTATCAAAGATTTCTCCTAATAACCTATCCATAAAAAAAAATAAAGTGGAAATTTAGAAGAAAAAAAAAGTCACATCATATGGAACATTTAGTTTTTTTTTTAAAAAAAAAGGTTTTTTCATAGTTTTGGAGTGTATATGGATTATTTGATTTTCCAAGTTTATACAGATTCGCGTGAAAAAGTTGAAAACTCCAACCAAAATTATACTTTAGGCCCAATCCAATCGTTAGGCCTGAGACCACTTCCACATCAAGTAGGCACCATAAGACCATAAACTTAAGCCCAAGCCCGATAGAGTGTGATCCATTTAATACAATGCGAGGAACGATATCTATTAATTTTGAAATCAATAATGGAATGGAATCTGGTTATTTGTATGTGATTTTTTAAATGATTTCAAAATAGTTTACATTTTATCGGATTATTTCGCATCTTTGTGTGTGTACAACATTTATTAAATTATGATAATATCTCTTTCTGATTTGTTTGCGATAGCAATGATCGTTAAGATTATATATATATATATATATATGTATCACCAAGATTATATGAGTATTTTGGTTCTAATATCATATCATGGTATGCTGTTTATACACATGTATTTTTACAAATTGATGTGTTAAATTTTTATTTATATTTAATATATATTATGATCCGATGAAAATAAATATCGGGTTTGATTATTTCGTCAAAATCCAATGTTATACAGTCAATCATCTTTCGAAATACATTTTCATTTTATTACAATGAGAAAGAAACTATAAAACCAATGGAGTTGAGTCACGTTTAGCGAGTGCATATATGTGAGCTCACGTCTGCACCTCTTGTCTGTTGCCTCAGTTGATTCGGTGAAATATATTTTTCACCAAAGATTCGCCGGTTTATATATATATATATATATTATATAGTTTGCATAGGACAAGACGTAAACTTTCGTGGTTATCTGTCACTAATAATATTAAAACCACTAAAAAAAATTATAAGGTGGACGAATATCTTTGACATTTTATTCCATATCCCGTTCTCACGTTTCTCTATCCACAGCTAATTAAGACGGAGCAAATACATTTTATTTTAATAAAAATATATAAATAATTTAAACGCCCTGTTCTCACTCCAAATAATCTGTATCTTTACACGGGTTATTATTTTTCTTGTTCTTTCTACTTCCGAAATATAAATGGGGATGTCATTTTATAACTTTAATTATATGGTCGCTCCATGGTATTTGCCTTATAATGACCATAATTAATATCTTAGGGACAAAACTTTAGTATAAGAGTTACAATATTGCGCAGTGGATGTGCCCCCCAAAAAAACTTGATCAAAGCCTACGTGCGTCATTGTTAGTACAATGTAATTATAATATATAAATACCGAGAAGCCAAACACAAGCCTCCAAATCCTAAAACCATCTTTACCAACAACAAAAAAACATTTTTTTTCCGGCAATGGCTCAAACCACAACCAGAATCCTTCTCCTGGCCGCATGGTTGGTGGCGGCCACGGCCGTTTCGGCTCAGGCGCCATCCCCCGGCAGTCCGAATTGCTCCGTCAGTGATCTTTCGGTCTGTGCCTCGGCCGTGCAAGGAGAAAACCCTAACGAGAAATGTTGCTCGGCCTTGGCCATGGCCATAAAGACTGAGCTTCCGTGCCTCTGTCACCTCTTCTCCTCCGTTCCTAATCCCGAAGTCGCCCTTTCTATCCCTAAGAAATGCAACCTTCCGGTCGATGCCAACATTTGCTCCGGTACGTTTGTATTATAACCTTTTTTTTTATAGTGTTTTATTGGGGATTATAAGTTTTTTAACATAGAGTTTGATTACATGTTCATATATATTTTTGTATTAGTTTTTGGTAAATTTTAGTATTACATAATCTTTTCAATATTTTTTATATTCTCATTATTGTCGGATGACCATTAATTTCGAATGTTGATTCAGTTATATTTGGATTCGGTTTGGTTGTATTCAGATTTGACTATGTTTGTTTTAGAAAAACTATAATCGTTTGGTTTTTATACTAAATTCGATTTGGTTTTTCCAATATTCTTATGCCAAATCCATGACCATTTCTTTTCTTTTTATATGTCACATGCCCTAAAGATGTTATTTGCAGATATCAATGGAGCAATCTCACTCTGAAACATCATTAGAGACAAATGATGAAATAAATTTATTTGATATATATTCATATGTATGCTTAAGATTTGTCAAATCTTATAATAATTTTCATGACATTGTTTTGGTTATGTGCAGCTTCACACGCTCCACCGCCCCAAGCCCTAGCACCACAAGCGGGTAAGAAACTATTGTTATTTGAAACTATTTTGTAGAATGTGATATTTGGTGTCAGAAATAAATAGAAAACTCTCAACTGTAACAGTTTTATATTATGTATTCAAACAAATCATAAAATTGTACTAAACATCTAAATGGAACGTGAATTCACATCTAATTTTCAAAAATAGACTATAAATTTGTATAAAAGTATACAAAAAATATATCATATTTGGAAATATATCATTTTAAATATGTATTAAATACAAAAAAATTATCTCTTTTTGGAAACATATCAATTCTATAAACTCAATTCTCAAAATATATAATTTAAAATTCATAAACTGTTATAGATTCCAAAACCTCATTAAAAAACAATTATTTTAGCCATTGAAATCCATATTAATATTGGTTACGAAAAATATAAATTAAAATATAATCTAAGAACTAATTAAATATAACAATCAATTGATCTATCGCACCTAACATTTTTTCTGAATATATATATATATATATTAAAATATACGGTTTAATGTGCGTAGGATCACCCAAGGGTCAGAAGGGTGCCGCAGCAAAGATGACGGGAACTGGATTGTTCGGATTATTCTTAATCTCAATTACCATGATGTTTTATTAAGAAATAATCTTAATAAAACATCTTTTAAATCGTTATTAACAAGATTTATATGTGAGAAATTGGTGTATCGTGCTTTGTTATTGTATCGCTTTTTTTTAAAAAAAAAAATTCACAATGTATAAATTTATGCGATTTTATTATTGCCGCTGTCGTGCATCTGTAATCGGGATATTTCTTATGTTTATTGTTTTTTTTTTCCAATTCATGAATAAACATATTTCCCTTTTAAAATTTAATGGCTGTTGGGTGTTGAGATTCATATGACTTTTGCTTTTACCTTTTTACTGACATTTATTTATTATAACTTCTACATATATGTTACCTAAAGTTTAAGCATATTTACCGTGATGACACATGGACCGTCAACACCGTATTTTACATGTTGAAACTGAAACACTCTTGTCGGTTAAATACGCTACTCACATTTGTTCTTCCATAAGATAAATAAAATTAAAAGGATTTGTATTTTTTTATGTTTTTTTTTTGGTAACCGGGTTTCCTGAACCGACAAATAAAATAATAACATGCTTAAGAATAAACACAAAACCTGAGATTATAATATTAGGTCTAATTAAGGTTCAGTTCTGTCAAAGGAAAAGTATTTTTTAAATTTATTGATATTATTTTAAAATGAAATCTGAAAATTAAAAATGTTGTGATGATTCTGAATGTTCTAGGGTGTGTTTCGTCTTAGAAGAATTTCCCAAACTTATTCGATGAGTGTTGGTATCGTTGTAATAAGTTAGGAAAATAAGAAAAAAAATATTAATTTGGTTTTATTAAAAACATTAGTTTTTATTTAAGTTTATATGGATTAATTAATGGCATATATGGATCAACTTCAAAGTGAATCTTTCCCCAAAATAAGAACGTTGCTTACAGTCGAGCAATCATGTTCCAAGTGGCAGCAATGACTTCATACTTACGTGGGATATCATATGTATGTATCCCCCACACAAAAAAAAAAAATCATAATCGACCAATTTTCTTCTTCTGTCTTGTCTTAATTGTGTCTTTATGAAATGATTAACATCTTTGAAATGACAGAATTATATATATATATATATATGGAAGTATATATATATATATATATTTGCGGTGGGGAAATAACGATTTTTGTATATGCACTTCCATATATGTTTAATTTTCCATGGATTTGTTTAATTGGTTTTCCATTTTTCAAGCTTCAATAGACCTATTATAAATAAAAATGGTTAATGAACCGTGATATCTCCTCTAACGTTTTATATCGTGTAAATTATTTTGTAAAAAAATAACAAGTGACGTTTTATATACACAAACAGACCAAAGTGTACATAAATAGCTAGATTGTATTTTTTTCATATTAATTCTAAATATATATAACTTGATATTTACAAGAAAAAGCTTCTATTTCATGATTCTAAATAACATATATATTAACTTGGGTTGTGTATAAATCAACCTCTTGGATTTTGAGGTGTACCATATGACGGTCAAATCATACAATAAAATAAAACATATAACATTATTAATATTAATATATACAAACAAAAAGAAAATTCAAAAAAAAAAAATAAAAAGATTACATGTGAAACACCATACCTAAAAAAGTGATATCGAAAACCATGGCGCACAATTGATGCTTTACATGATCTTCTTGCATAGTTTTAATGTCACTATCATGATATATCTACATATATATATATATATACGTATAAATTTATATACACATGTATATGTATATGCGTATGTGTCATATGTATGCAGATTGCTAAAGCTTGCCATTCATCTCTATGGAACTCAGTCCAATCTCATGGAAGCATCCGAATCCAAAATCTTGAACCCCGAAATCTTGGCAATAATCCAAAAACATCCGGTCGTGGTCTCCGTTCATTTCCTCCGGCGTCCACGCCGGAAAATCTCCGCCGGCGGCGGCGACACTGTTTCCTCCTCCGCCGCCGTTATTGCTCCACGATATTGTATCAAACGAAAAGGGTTCATCGCTCCACAGGCTATTAAACAGATCTTCATCGTCGTTAATGGAACCGAATGGTCGAGAATCGTCCGTCGAACTGTTTTGATCGATGCTGCTGTTCGCCGTCGAGATATCGGTCTCTATGCTCTTGGTGTCACTCGTCTTCGGTTCCGAGCGATTTTCGTCGGTTTTCGGCGAAATTTTGTCGGAATTTTCGATGTTTTTATGATCGTTAGGTTCTTTGTTTAGAGGTTGATGGGTCATCGGATCGATTCCCATCTTGAGAAGTTTCTTCTTGATATGGGTGTTCCAGTGGTTCTTTATCTCGTTATCCGTCCTTCCGGGCAATCTTGAAGCAATCTTGGACCACCTAATGAACAAATAAAATTTTTTTTTTAACGATGTATAAATATATATATATATATATATATATAATGTATGTATAAAAAGATAATGATGTTAGGTGTTGGTAGAGATGTCGAAATCTCAGAAACTTGGGAAAGTAACGCAAGAAATTGACAAGAGGGGACGTTGCTTTGTCTGCAAGTTTATTTCAGAGAGAGAAGTAAACTCACAAGTAAACCTCTGAAAACAGGAGGCTTTGAAATCGGTTTGGATTGATTTCATCTCATGCTCATGCATCCTTTTCATGATTCACGATACCCATCTAATACATATTTTATATATATATATATATATATGTGTTATCTGTATATATAATCTAGTTTAATAATATATAGCTTTTAAATTTGATTAGGGCATGTTTAATTACCGCAATAGATATAATTATCTCCCGTACGGTGCCAATTCATATATCATACTGACAGCAGATCTTCAAGAAACCATCATTCTTCACTCTTTTCGAAATCCAGAAATATTCCAAAATCTAATGAATACAAATATATATATATATATATAGAGAGAGAGAGAGAGGGGGGTATTATTATAGCTGATATATATATACAGTATATATATATATACCTGTTGCCGAGATGGGAATGGAGGTCGATGACGAGCTGTTCCTCGGAATCGGAGAGGAGGCCTCTCTTGAGATCGGGACGGAGGTAGTTAGTCCACCGGAGACGGCAGCTCTTCCCGCAGCGGCGGAGCCCGGCGAGCTTCGGCACCGCCCTCCAGCAGCATTGCCCGCTCCTTACCATGAAGCTTATCAGCTTCTTGTCCTCCTCCGCCGTCCAAGGCCCCTTCTTCACCCCCAGCTTGTCGCAACACGGCTGCCTCCCCATACAGATAGAGAGAGAGAGAGAGAGAGAGAGAGAGAGAAACCCTAATTTTCTCTTGGAGTAAAAAAACAAAAATCTTACCAACTTGCGAGTTACATGTCATGAGCCCAAGCACCAAACCTCACCCACCTATATATACAACCACACCCACACCACTTTCTCACACCATCTTCCACCACTCAACCTTTTTCGGAATATAATAATAATGCCATGCCACGCATATATATATACATATATATATACACGCATATATATATATATATATGTGTGTGTGATGAGGGTATATATGTGATATTTGATTCTACTAATCTTCAAGAAAACATGAGAACCCTCACATCCAAACAAAGCCTAAACTAGCAATAAAGCCCGGCAAATGCATTGGAGAAAACCAATTACCATTATACATACATATCATGATTCATGATATTGTTAAATGTTATCTCGAAGTTATGCCTTTTAGACATAACCGATTACTATATTATACATTGTTAATCTTTAATATGTATTACGGATAGTTTCTACACAAATCCCATAAAAATTTATTATATTAATTACTTTGATAGAATATAATGTAAGGTAGGCGTTATATGAGGTATAAAATGAATTTCTGGTCATATATACAGACAAGAAATACGTATATTATAGTTATGTTTGTCAATAATTAGATTAGATTGGAATCAAACGTGAGAAATTCTTTACGATGCCCAACATACAGATTTCAAATTTGTTAATTATTTTTCAAATTTTGGTAACTTAAGATATAAATATATTTATGGTAATATATACAGACAATACAATATTATATATATATATCCATATTATACGTGTATATGTATGTCATAGATTAGATATGGAGTTTAAACTTGAGCAATTGATTACGATTAAGAATACAAGTACCGATCGAATATGTCTGATATATTCACAAAAAACATTGGAATAATGGAGAAAACTTTAAAAAAGAGACAACATTGGTTGGTGAAAATGACTTTGGAACTAATGTGACATGTTTGTGTGTGAATGTACACAAAAAATATATTATAAACAAATAAACATTATATATGCTTCTCGTGATTTTTTTTCTACAACACAATTGATATATGACATTTCTTTAACGCACGTCGCTTCTATAAACTCTACTAAAAACCTATATGATATATGACATTATTATATATCTCTTTCTCTCAAATGTAATAATTGAAGAAACCCGTTTAAATCTTGCGTATAATTCAAAGATTTAAATGCTTAAGTGTGTAATTTAAAGAAAAATAAATAATCCCATAATGGTGACCCATAGTTTGGAATGTTAAATGGGTAAAGAAATTTACGAAAGTGAGTGACGATGATTCACATCGTCAAAGGAAACGAGGTTGTCGGAATTTATCCACGAATACCACAAGCGATCTCTTACCATCTTTAACGTGCATATTTGTTGGAAATAGCTCATACGGATAAACATATGCCGACGAACAGTTATACGCCACGTACGTACACATGCATGTATATATATATATATGTATACGTTCTAGATTGTTCCAATTAAAATTCGGACGTATTGGTGACTTGTAATTTGGGTTTCGAGCTTTGATTTCTAAGAAACTGAAGAGAATCTAACAGAAAATGCGTCTTCGATTTTGTTAGGTCATGAAGACTAATGGAATTTTTAATTCGACATAGAAAGCAATTCTTTACAAAAAAAAAACTTTACCAAAAAAACATAGAAAGCAATTAATTTTTACTGCTCTCACATGCTAATGGTTGTGATGATTAATTCTTTTCCCACTAATTACAGAGTACAAAAGAGGAAAGTACACTAATATTATTACTCTATTATTATGGTTTTACAGTTATAAACATGTATTAATATTCATATGATTATTAGTATATATAGTTTAAGGGTTTAATTTTGTGTATATAGTAATATATACTATCCGTCTATTTTAATCAATTAGTTTTTCAGAATTAATATATATTTTTGTGGATGTTATAAGACTATATTATCTATCATTTTTATAGAAGAAATGAAAAAAAAAATCATCGATGGGAATTACGTAAATTCGGTCTAACAACAATAAAATGACAGAAATAAAAGATATAGTCTATTCTTCCCATTTATAGTTACTTTTCTGATTTTTTTTTCTTTCTAAAATTAGAATTCATCCAATTTCTTCTCAAATTTGATATCCATCTTATCCTCTCTTTACCGTCGATCTACGTTAACAAAAAAGAAAAGATTGAAAAACTTTGAAGGAAGAGAAATTAAATGAATTTTAATCATTTGACATAAATTCAGTATTTTTCATTAGGAAAAAAATAGATTTTAGATTCTACTACACTGATTTCAGTTTCAGAATGGATTAATAGAAATTATTAAAATCATTAGGGGTGGGAGTTTCAGAACCGAACCGAACCGAAAAATACGGTAGTTTTTTCGATTCGAGCCGTTCTAAATTATTGAACGGTATTATTTTTAGAAAACTGAATTTTTTAGAACCGAACTGAACCGAATTTTTAAAAATCTTGAAAAACCGAAATTTTTTAAAAGAAATCTATCTATTTTTTTTTAATAAAAACCATAATCGAACCAAAACTGAAACCGAACCGATGCATTCCCGTCTTGAAACCGAATCGATTTCCGAAACGCCCCCCCTAAAAATCATGTTATATATATATTACAATTATTTTGTTTATGATTTGAAAGATCCGTCGAAAATATGCTTCGGGTAAAAAATTTGTTTACAATCATAAAATAAATTAATACACCGAGAAAGATGCCACTTTCTGTTCCGATTGTCAAAAGTGAAATTCAATGGCCTAGACGCGATGATGTATCAATTTTCTCCTCTGTTCCCGCGAAAGTTACTTAATTGCAATTTATACCCCTTAATATTATATGTTTACATATATTACCCACTAGATTTGGGGTTTCCAAGTATTTTAATTACGTTTTCTTACCGACGTTGACTTCTTTTTTACGACTGTTTAATTCATTTCATAAATATATACATCTCTAAAAAAATGATTTGATTTCTGTTGAATATGAACATCCACTTCGCTTCGATTATCCTAGATTTTGGAGTTAATTATCCTACAATTTTTGAAGTTATCCAAATTTCACATCCAAATATTTTGGATTTTGGATATTTGACATTTGAATACCAAAAAAATAATATTTAGATTTATGTGATATTCGAAATAGGACTTCTATTCGCAATCAAAATATGAATTCTTTACCAAGATTTTAGAATATTCACGATATTTGAATCTAAATCTAAATCTAAAAATATTTTTTTAATTAAAAATTTATAAAAAAACAAAATGATATAATGGTTTATTTTTACATCTATTTGAATAACACCAAAAGACGATAGTTTTTATTTTGGTTTTTTGTTTTAGTTTTTAGTTTTTGGATTTTAACTTTTAGTTTTTTGTTTTTTGTTTTTTTAAATATTTGTAAATCCAAAATCAAAGTTTTTGGTCTTTATTTAATTTTTTTCACTAGAATAGTTTTCAAGTTTTTAGAAAAACTAAATATATAAAATCTTAATTATCTCTAAAAATTCCAAAAATTTCATCCATTCAACCTCCAAATATATAACCCTCAAATAACGAAAATCGGTCCTAATCTCGATTTTCATACAACCCTTTCTTAAATAAAACCTAAATCGGATGTCGTTCATAAAATTCGAATTCTAGAATATTTGAAATTCTTCTGGCCAATGACGACTTGTTATTGTATATATAATTTTATAAATAAGTTGAGCTTTCATGAAATGTGATATAAAATTTTTAATTATTTGAATACAGTAATTATCATTTCAATTGTTTGGATTTTTTTTTTAAAGACAATAAAAAAAAGTTAAATGTTCCATCGGGGACATTGCCCACTTAATGTTTGATAATGAGAATATAATTATGTCTCTTAAACTCACCAATTAGCACAAATCAAAAGTGACATTTCACCCCCTAAACCCTAAACCCCACTCACTACTTTTATTCTACAGCTTTCTTTTTCTTAATCAGAAGTTTATTAAGACTTTTAATTATTGTTTATTGTATTAATTAGTCCAATTAATTTAATCCTATGCTTAAGTCACCTACTTACGTTGCTTACGAGTAATGCAATCGTCATTTAGAATATAATTAGGGGGCAATAACTTATGTGATGTCTCTTTTTGTCCCACGTGTTGGAATTTGAAATTATTAAGTGGTATGGGCTTAGGCTTGTTCCTTGATCATTGGCCCGGCCCAAAATTTTCTGAATTTATATTTGGGCTTATAATAGTTTCATTTCATGCAAGTAAGCCCAATCTGCTATCTTTTTTTTCTCGCGCAATCCGAAATCCGTTTGATCTCCGATTTCAGGACCTTCGTCGTCGTTCACGTCCTCCTCAACTCCTGCGCCAATCGCCGCCGTCGGTCAAATCCTTGATGTTCTTCTCCTTCCAGGTGATACTTCTCTTCAATGGTGATTTTGATTTTGCTCCAAGTTTATTCTATCTAAAAAATTGGAATATAACCGAGGGGTTTTAGTGCTTGGTCAGAGATCTTAGGGTTCTAGTGGTGTATTGTCTACCGAGGAATCTATCTAAAACCCATTTCTCGGAATCACCGAATCTGTTTGCCCATTTTATCTGATCTGGTTATTGTGTAGGGATTCTCCTTTGATTCTGTACGGGTCGATGTGATCAATGATGGGTTCTTCGTCATTCTCTCTGGCTATTGTTTCTAACGCGTTTAAGAGATCGATAACACATCTGTAGATTCTTTTAGTTAGTAAATCAATCCAGATTGTTTTAGAACTTCATAAATTTCTTTTTCAGGGTTTATGCTTAGAACCTCTAACAGTGTTCGTGTAGTTCCCAATGCTGGTTACAAGTACAACCTCATGCTTGTTGTGCTTGTTTAGGCTGTAAAAACTTGCATCAGAATCAGCCATGTAGTTTCCAGTGGAATTCAGTGGATCTAGCTTGTGTGTAATTATCTGAAAAAATTCAGTCTTAAAGTAACATTAAGCGAATTTGTTTGAACTATTTAGTACAGTTAACTGAGTTAAGTGCCTAAGGTATCCCCTGAGGGTTAAGCCTGTCTCTTTGTTGAGTCCTCCGGTTCCCTGAGAACTTGTATGAGTAGTTTGAATGAGATTTCAGAGGGGTCCATTACTCAGCCAGAGTGGCTAGGTTCTTTTCTTAAATCACTCTTTTAATCTTCATACAATCATATGTACAAGAGACCGTTAGTCCCTCAGGGACGTTCCGGTTAGCAAAGTGGAGAACATAGGAATGAGAGGGAAGAGAAAAAGGAGGGTTAGACCTAGGTTTATTTGGGAACGAGTTATTAGCAATGACTTGAAATTATTGCAAATTTCGGAAGATCTAACTTAAAATCGAAATGAGTAGAACTAGAAACAAAGAATTCATATGGCCGATCCCAAATAAATTTGGCATGTTGTTTCATAATCTCAGTCCCCTTAGGCGAGTTGTGTAAGATGTGTACAAGGTTGTCTCATCTAAGGCAAGGCATAAACATATGGTGAAATACCTACCGTTAGGAAGCGGATCCGATTGTTTTTACTGACTGATGCCAGCATTTTAAGTCTGTTTGTTGTCTTATGGTTTTTGTTTCTTAAACTTTATTGAAGACCTCATAACTTGTAAAGTGAGATTAAAAGCGTTGTCTAAGCAAAACTATATGTATAAACTTTGTTCTCTGATTAGGTGAAAACAGTATATAATGTGTTTGCTGTTTAACCTTTTTACAAAAGCAAGATTTTGTTGTTTTTCTGAATTGGGTCGATGTGTTTCTTAGTGTTGATTTCATTTGTAGGTTTGCTGGTAAAGGGAATCTATATAGAATGGGAGATTTCTCGATTCAGATCAGTTCAAGACTGATCAGTCGGCTATCGGAGGGCGCCGATAAACAGAAGAGGAAACAAAAGAAGGCCAAGCCTAAGGCTTCACCACAACCCAAGACCGGCACCAAGAAACCACTCCACGATTCAGAGAAACCAAAGCCAAAGGCCGAATTTCCGGGTCAGCCGCCATTTTTCCTCCCGATACAGCAACAACCACCTCAAGCGGTAGCATATGCGGAGCTAGAAGCGATCAAATCCGTCTTAAAAGAGAGCGAGAAAGTTCTAGAGAAGCTGGAGAAACAAGAAAAGGACATGGGTCATGAAGTAACAGAGAGAGCCAAGGATCTAAGGGACAAGGAGTTCAAGATTCCCTCGCCCAGGCCAATGCCCTGTTCTTCCGAGAACGATGCATGGATGAAATGTTACAAGGAGAATATCAACGATCCTCTGAAATGCAACGGATTGGTTCGGAGTTTTGCAGATTGTGCTCGTCGAGTCAGGCAGCATGCGAGCTCTTTGCAGGAATAGACGAAATTTCCAAAGGGCAAAAACAAAGAGGTATGTTTTTTTTTTTTTGCATTGAGATCTGATGGATGCTGTTTCCATTTTACTCTGCCATGAAAAGGGAATAAGCTGAATCTCTGTAAGTATTGACTGACTCATGTGAGATTGTTGATCAAACCTTCTTGCTCTGATATGAAGCTAAGGGTGAACGTTTCGATTTACGGTTCCGTATTCAAACTTTTCACGGTATTTTCGGTTTTATAAAAATTGTATCAAACTAGAACCGAATGTTAAACGGTTTGATTTGGTATTAATGTTGAATTGGTTCGGATCGTTATTGTCATGTGAATACCAAATAATTATCAAACCATAATATTTACACACGTTGGTGGATAATTCGGATTTTTGTTCGGAATTTAATTAGATTCGGTTCGGAAAAAGTTTATTTGGTTTTATAAAATATACCAAATTAAATCCGAACGTTCGGTTCGATCGGATTCTATTTCGGTCTGAATTAGCGAACTGAAGTGTTCACCCTAATTGAAACCATGTTCTTGGTATTGGTATTTTTGAGAGACTTCTTTGTTGTGAGGGAAGGTGAGATAGATTGCTAAATCACATATGTGGGTATCTTACGAGTGGATTTTTTTTTTTAATTTTAATATTATGGAATTTTGTTTTTGTTTTAATTTTTTAGATTTTTAATCTTTGAATGAGTGTTATCCTCTCAAATCTTATCTGCTTGGAGCTACAGGTTTACACAAAAGTCCCATTTTCTAGAAAGTTGACACTGTTGTAAATATTTATTGATTAAATAATAATATCGAAAGTGAAAGATTCCCCTATTTTTATTCCTCAAGTCTCTGCGCTCCAATTAATATAAAATTGGGAATTTTTCAATTAAAAAAACGTAGTTGTAAACAAGATTGGATTAATTATAAGTTTTCAATATAAAAAAAAACTTAGTGGTCCAAAAGATGGGATTGGTTATATAATTTGTTTCTGCCGCAAGAATGAATACATTAAAATGGAAAATGCATAAAAATTCATAAAACACCATAATTTATCATAAAAGAAATAAACGGTCTATTGCAACCCCCTTCTAAATCCTCGCATTTCATTTTCCAGTCACTAATTTTTTAATCATTTTAATCTACACAATAATTTTTCTCATTCTGGTAAAACTAGTTAAAACTTTTTAACATTTTGTATTTCATTTTTTGTTACATTTAACCTTTTTTTCATGCAAAAAATATTTTTTCTTTTACCAATCATATACAAATTTCAGACATATAAATAAAATATATAAAATCTAGAAATTACATCAAAATATGTGGCCTCGACCGACCAGAGTTTCACATTATTTGACAATAAATATCTCTTTTCCACACCCCCAAAAAAAGAACAAAAAAAGCTTCAACGCTAACAATGGCGTCGACTTTTGATGTCTTCGGGATCTTCGTCGCAAACGATAATCTTCACCACTTGATCTTATTAACCTTAATCGGAATATTCTCTCTTTCC